AGTGGAGAGGCCGCCGGCCGACGAGTCGCCGTTCGGGGTCGACAGCCGGGTCATGATTTCGAGGAATGTGGGGCGGATGGTGGGGTCCTGGTGCCAGCAGGCGGTGATGAGTTCTTCGAATTCCACGGGACACTGCTCCTGCGCCTCGGGCAGGGCGGGCCGCAGCCCGTCGCGGATGACCGCCACCGCCACGGCCGCCGGGCTGTTGCAAGGTAACCGTCAACGTTGGTCAGTATTCCGGTAGCTATGCAACAAACTAAACCAGGAAAGGGGGAGCGATCACCTCATTCCGAGATAGGGTTCTTGGCGGGTCAGCAGCTCCCACATGATGACGCCGAAGCTGTAGACGTCGGCAAGGATGAGATCGGCGTCGGGTGCCTCGTTCAAGACCTCGGGCGCGGTCCAGTGCACGCTGCCGGCCACGTCCTTTCCGCCCCCGGTCTTGATCTCCTCCTTGAACTTGGTCAAGCCAAAGTCGCTCACCTGGTGCGTGTGCGTGTGCGTGTGCGTGTGCGTGTGCGTGTGCGTGTGCGTGTGCGTGTGCGTGTGCGTGCGTCAGCACAACACAATAAAACACGCAACACACGCAACACCATCTTTGAACCTTAATGTTCCACTTCGAGTCGAGAAGAAGATTGAGCGACTTGAGGTCGCGATGCACGATACCTGGTGTGCGAGTTGTGTAAGCCTCAAATAATTGGTCTGGCGGACACACAAACAAACAGGCGGACGTACCAGAGGAGTGGAGGAAGTGCATTCCCTTGGAGGCCTGGTAGGCCATCTTGGCCTTCAGCTGGAACGGAATGTCCGAGACCAGCTCGTTGTGCAGCAGCTGGACGCAGGTCAGAGAACAAAAGAACGAAAAAAGCGACAGGGAAAGCGAAAGAGAAGAGGGGGAGGGCAGCGTACATCGTGAAGGGAGCCGAGGGACATGAACTCCATGACGATGCACATCTTGGGCGCCTTGGTGCAGGCGGCCATGAAGAGCACCACGTTGGGGTGGCGCAACGAGGTCATGACCCGCACCTCCTCCTTGAACTGCCGCTCCATCTCCCTGGTGACCTGCTCCGAGGCCATCACCTTGACCGCCACCTCGGTCGCCCTTCCACGTGGCCCGGTAGACCTGGCCGAAGCCGCCGCTGGCCAGCTGCTCCGCCCAGCTCTAGCTCGT